TCCATGAGTCCGTAAGTGATGATACCCAAAGCAAAACTAAAAGGCAGGAGGGGAGGAGAGCCCTTCTTTGCAGAAGAATTCAAGCTTTAAATGTCAAAGGACAAGAAGTTTTTCCAAAAGACATCATTTTATAAGGCCCAAAGTAAGCATTAATTCAGGCAAAGATCCTCAATGAATGCAAAAAAATCACTGAAAGGCAGGGTGTTGAGAAACACAACAGTTACAGTCTCAGAGTATCATTCCACAGATGACTCCTTACAGAGGAGAAAAGATACCTCTACAGTGGAGACATCTGGAAGCCATCATCTGAACCTAGTGAGCAAATTCAGCATCACCCAAAATAGAAACGACATTATGTGATGCAGTGGGAATCTGTGCCAAGTCCTAGAACCACATACCCTCCTGCCTAATTTGAAAGAGAAGTACACTGGAAGGAATGTCAGGAGGTAAGTCTTGTACGGTAACCAAGATCCTGATCACAAAGTCAATGTCATCCACAATCAACAGGTGAAGAAACTGAAATGCAGAGGAGTCTTTCCAAAGTCAACTATCTAGGAATTGGCACAGTGGCAAAGCTGGAACCTGAACCAAGTCAATCTGATTCTAAAATTCAGATTCTTTTGACGTCAGAGACTTGGCAACCCTAAACATCACTAGGTCTAAAGCCTAGGTCCAGTCATGCGTAGACTGCTGCTTTAAACACTCCCCAGATCCTTCAGGCGCCAACACCGCTGCTTATCTACCCTAGCCTCCTACCTTCCTTTGCAAACCTACTTGTCTCTAGGACACTCTTACAAAATTCAGACTCCCATGCCTCCCCACTACAGCTGTGCAACAGCAGTTAGGAAAGGGTGGCTGCAAATCTCTGGCTATGTAACAGACCCAAGAAAACGGGCTCAATTATCATGCAGAGGGATCCCTGCACAGTTCATGAAAACAGGCCTATAGAACAACCAAACGTAAGCAATTATCATTTTATTACTGTCATCGGTTTGTGAATAAAATCAATTATGATAGATACCTTTGAAGTGCTTGTCCATGTCCCATTATAATACAACCTCAAATGAAAAGCAATGCTCATTCTAATCAGCTTTCTACACTTCTATCATAATGTAGTCAGAAAACTCCTCAACCTCTCCAACCAACATGTCTGCCTTAATCTACTCGGGCTGCCATAACAAAACTTACAAACAGCAGAAACCTATCGTTCCCAGTTCTGGAGGCTTGGAAATCCAAGATCAAAGCAGCGGCACGTTCCGGTCTAGTTAGGACCTGTTCCTCACAGACTGTGCCTTCTGTGTGTTCTCACACGGCAGCAGGGGAAGGCAGCTAGCTCTTTTATTAGGGCATTAATTCCATTCATGACCTAATCACCTTCCAAAGACCCTGCGTTCTAATCCCCCATCACCTTGGTGACTGAATTTCTCACACACAAATTGGGGAGGGGGGAGCAGAGACATTCAGACCATAGCAGCATCCAACCCAAACACCTGATTTTCCTCCTGACCTTGGTCCCCCTTTCTTCCAGTTGCATAGGCGAAAACCTGGCTACCATCATTGACATCTTTCCCTCCCACCTCACATCCGGTCCACTGGGAAATCCTGTTAGCTAGACCTGTAACACGTATCCACAGTCTGTCGATTTCTCACCCAGTCTACTGCTTCCTTCGTAAGCAAAGCCACCCTCCTCCTTTGCCCAGATAGTTTATTGGCCTCCTAACACGTGTACCACTCTGGACACTTCTGCTAAGTCCATTTTCAACACTGTAGCCAACGCAGTCTTGCTAAGTGGTCAGGCCACTCTGTGTCCAGCCCCTCAGTGGCTTTCTCTCTTAGTTAAAGGCACAGACAGAAGCCTCCACGGGGCCCTCAACACCCCATGAGATCTTGGGCCCTCAACACCCTGTGAGATCTTGGGCCCTCAACACCCGTGAGATCTTGGCTCTTTCCCCCCACCCACATGGCCTCCTTGCGATGTCTTCACATGGGCCAGCCATGCTTGCAGATCAAGTTTCTGCACTTGATGTTTGCTCTGCTTGAAACGCTCGTCACCAGCCATCTGCATGTCTTGCCTGCTCTAAACCTTGGCTCGGATCCTGGTGCAGCCTTCTCCACCCATATTGGAATTACAACCTCACTCCATATCCAACTTCACTGCTTTCTTCCTTCCACACCACCTGTCACCCTCTGACTCCCTGGGGATTTTACTGAGTTGTTCTTTACCCCCTCTCACCCTTCACGTCGGTATCCAGGAGGAGAGTGACTTTTGGTGTTTGTTTTTTTTTTTTTTTTTGAAATCTATTTTTTTACTGCTATAATCCCAATTATTCAAAACATGCCTGGCATTTGAAGGTACCTAATTTGTGTTGAACAAACAAAAATAGGATAAACTTACACATAAAGAAAATTATCCTCTGGAAGGTTTGTTGTTGTTGTCTACCCATACACAGTACTAAAAGCCACGTCAAGCTTAACCCTGAACAAGTCGCAAAGTTACCTCAATTCCTAAAAACAAACAAACAAAAGACTATGCAGAAAAGCCAATGGACTTGTTTTATTTGCACCTGGGCACTTTCCTACAGGGACCTCAAGTTTCAGCTATAACAAATGTTTCCCCTGGGGCAGGCATTGTGGTGCCACAGGGAAAGCCACTGCTTGGAACGCCAGCCTCCCATACTGGAATGTCTGGAATCAAGTCCCACATCGGCTTCCCGGCCCAGGCCAGGCTGTTTTGAGCATTGGGGAGTGAACCAGCAGATGGAAGATCTTTCTCTCCCTCCCTCTCTGTCACTCTGCCTTTCAAATAAATCAATACAGCTTTCAAAAAAAAAAAAAAAAAAGAGTAGGACAGCAAATTATTTTAAAAATTCTCTCTTTAGGTTATCTGAGTTGATGAGTAAGTATTAAGATGAGTTGTGTAAGATAATAAATGTGACTGATTAAGAGGAGGAAAATCTCCTGAGGCCAGCCACATGCAAGAGTCGATGTCTCGTGAGCCACACGCGTGCAGCCACAGGAACCACAAGGACAGAAGCAACACCAGCGTCTTGGTCTCCTGCACCACTCCACGCCACGCAGCCACTCAGCAGTCTGGCTTTAAAAATTTTTTTCCATTTATGTTTTTGTTGGTGGGGACCCAAATCCATCAGTTTGCTGGCTATATCTTAAAATACCAATATGCATTTTAGTGATTCATAACTGCATATGAAAATGGTAGCATTTATTGTTGCAAGGTTTGAAAACAAACTTCGCTATCTGTATTTAATTTTGGCTCCTCTTATTTCTACATCATGGAGGGAATACCAAAACATCAAGAAGATCAAAAAGATCTTTAAAGATGTAACTTGTAGGAGCTACATGCAAGGCATTGATATTTTAATGCCAAAATTTCTTTTGAAACAGGGAAAATATTTTTAACAAAACTGGACTTAAAAGTTCCCAAACTTAAGTCACTGATATAGAAGTTGCTATACATCATGAAATTTTTTCCTTCATTTATAATCAGGGTCCAAATCATGGTCCTGCCTTGGGCAATGAATCTATCCTTCCTAACATTCAGATCTGTAAAGTAACAGTGATAGCACCAATCGTAAGAGAAGTATCATGAAGACTAGGATAGAACATGTCAAATTCTTAACATATTTGTGGCACATGATTGCTCAATAAATGGTTTCTACCATGGGAAGAATCACAAATCAATTGTAAAAGAAAAAATCCATTATTCCTATAATTTTCAAAAGGAAAATTTTAAAAGCTACTAAAGGTGGATTGGGAATTAGAAGGCCCGGCTTTGCTACCAGCTGGGTGTGCTGCTGGATGCTGACTTAAGTAAAACAAAGCCATGGGGTCAGTGCCTTCAACCGCCTCCACACCACGGCACCCGCTCGCTCCTGGAAGAGGTCTCCAGTCTGTCTCAACACTCTCCCTCCGCAGCGGTACCTCTCCAAGCTTTCAACAGAGCCAAGAAACAGCCCTACGCCGTGGACACCCAGACCAGCCTTACACGAACCCGACTTCCTCGTGCACGAAGGGTCTTCAGGAAATCCACGGAAAACGCATATTATGAAAAATCTATGTGTGGATTTCAACACCAAATAAACCTCCCATCTTTTAATTCCATCTTTCCATCAACTTTCTGAAGCACCCTCGCATTTTGTTCTCATAATCTTAGAACTGTCACTCTACAGGACAACGGTGAATGACTTTTGAAGGGCACAATCGATCGTAACGGATTTTACGCTGGCTCTCTCGCCGCCGAGACTGCTCGTGTGTCTGGCATGTGGTCAGTGCCCTGTGAACACAAACGCTTCCAAAGGCAAGCGGACCAAAAGCAGCAGGCGCAAAGCATGAGCCCTCCCCGTCACGAGACAGACAAACCTCCACGTGCAGCCTTGACTGGTTCAACCCGCTCCTGGCAGCAGGGACGCCTCTCTCTGCTCCAGGAAAGCAGAGCACCTCTGGAGCTGTCTCTGTTCTCCTTCAGCACTACCTCTTTCTAGGCTTCTGATAACTCACCACGTCCACTTTGGCTTTGTTTTCCTCACCAGTCTCTATTTTGACCTCCTGGAGTAATGAAGAGCCAGAGGAACCCTTGAAGCCACTACTTCCATCACTTAACCCATCCAAATTAATTAGGATACTTAAGAAAAGGAAAACTCCTTAGAGAACCTAGGGTCTTTGAACAGGCTTAGCAGAATACCTGATACACAGTGAGAGCTTAGCAAACATTCACTGCTACTAGCTGGACGAGCATCCTCCTCACCATATAATCTTGCCATACCACAGGTAACCGTTAACCGCCGGCTCGCAGGCAGGGGCAGGAAGGCTCTCCGGGCCAACAGCCCGGCCTCGTCAGCTGCCTGACTCCCGGGCTTGGCATCAGCTGTGCAGACTGTCCGGGGACCACGGATTTGCACGGATCCTCCTCAGAGAGAAAGGTGACACCCTGCTGGGGTCCTGCACCGCCCAACTCTCTCAGGCCACAGATCCACCAACCGACCTCCAACAGATTCCAACTGCTGAAGGCCAAGTACAAGCTCGTTCCCTCCAGGGCTGCTGACATCACAGTCCCACCCTGGAATCTTCACCTTCCACACCTCACGGCGGTCTCGAGCCAAAGGCTTTCGCCTCTGTCAGATCAACACTTCCTCCCCAAAAGAGACTCTGACTCCTGATCAATCGCCTTCCCTCCTCGTGAGTCTGAGGGCCACGGAAGACTCGCTGGGTGTCAGCGCTACAGGCTGGGGCACACTGCCAAGACAGCCGCCAGCCCTTCCAAGATCCCAACTGCCCCGCAGAGACAGAGGGTGGCAGGCCGGTGCTCGGTTCTGGAGAGCGGCTGTCCGTGAAGGTGGTAGTGAATGAGTTCTCTATGAAGTGAGGTTTCAGATCTGGGAAGACTTAGTAGTATGGAGAAATGGGCTGCTTTCTCAGCCTGGGGTGTCTGTGTGTGTGTGTGTGTGTGTGTGTGGGTGGGTGTGTGGGTGTGGGTGTGGGTGTGTGTGTGTGTGCGTGTGTGGGTGTGGGTGTGTGTGGGTGGGTGTGTGTGTGTGGGTGTGTGTGTGGGTGCGTGTGTGCGTGCAGGTATGTCACACTGCCTAGTGTGCTTGCATTTCACAGGGCATCACACTGCCTTCCAGGGTTCATCACTGCACATCAGGGGCCCACGTCCTGTCTCACCCTCTCCCTAGCGTGTCCTGCCAGCACCTCCTGGCCTCCACTGCCTGGCTTCATCCCACTAATCTTTCCCCAGCAGACTTCCATCTCATGGTTCCTCATCAGACTGTCCCACTCCCACGATCCGGCCTTGAACTGAAGTGTGTTCCCACAGTGGAAGCTGCAGGGCCTGCTAGACCTTGAGCATTGTGACATGACAGTGTAAGGTACAATCAAAAATTAGTGTTTTCAAGCGTTACTCCTACTCTGTGCCCTATACTCCTGCCTCACAAATAGACCTGTCTAAACAAATCTGATGTTGATAGCACTGTTGGCCAAATCTGGTGCACAAAGGTTTAAATATGATTTCAGTATTTTTCCTCCACTTAGTCAAATATGGTAATACTAACATTTTGTTTTGGAAACACCTCTGTATCACCCACAATTGCTAACATTTACTGAGTGCCTGCCACGTACTCTGCAGTGTTTAGGTGACTTGGTGTCACTACAGTGTAGAATGCTTACAGCAGCCCTGTGAGGGGACAGATGAGAAGCTAACACGTCCAAGAGCCAGCAGACTCTAGTGCTCTAATAGCAACTGTCCCGCCCCACATTCATTTGGCCAGGTTAACTGCAAGACTCCCTGGTCTCTAGATGCTGTAGCTCCTCCTTCCCCCACCGATGTTTTTACATTCAGAACTTGCTAGCCGAGAATTCCCTAGTCCTTCTAAAAATGTGCAAACGTGGGTCAGGCAGACTGTCTCCTGTATTCTGAGGTGCTCGTTTACTTGCACTTAGGTGCACTGCGTGGTCAGTGCCCGTCTCACTTATCCATGATAGTTTATCATGTACCGCCTCCCTTCAAAGTCTCCACACAGAAACAGCCCTAGAACTGAAGAGCCTTATCTACCACAGCAACATCTCTCCTGGATGCAGTAATTACTGTCAGATGCTAAGGGGCAGAAAGAAAAGAGAACAAAACCTGCCTTTGATAATCAGTATGTTTAAGGACAGAAGTAAGACAAGACAGAGTAGACAGGAACACTCGGCAGCTCGTCTCCTTGGCGCTCTCATCTAGCCCTTTTCCTCCAAGTCCATGGTCCGTTTGTCTTCAAACTGCATCCTCCACAGGCAGTGACAGTGACGGAAGAGAGCAACGTCACAGACCCTGAAGTGGCTCCCGCTGGCTGGCAAGCAGGACCAGCAAGGCAAAGCACGCGAACACGTCCAGTTCCTCCTTCTCACTACTCCCTTGGCCCGCAAATCTTTCTCACACTCCTTTCTCAACACAGCACTCCGGGATGGAGCTGCCAACCCATGCAAGCCGGCCCTGGAGAATAAATCTATTTGCCTCTGTGGCTTAAGTGTTTTGGTCTCTCAAGGGGAATTTCAGTTATAATGGAAGAGTTCCAGAGAAATAAATGTACCACTAGAGTATCCTTCCAAACGTGCAATTTCAGTCACTGGAGAAACTGAGTGGGAACACTATTTTGGGGAAGATTAGACAGATCGACGAAAGTGCTCATTTTACAGGCCCAGTGCTCGGAAAGGCCCCTACCAAGGTCCTGGGAGTGATCCTGGCACTGAGTTCACATTATGGCGTTTCTGTGAAATTTGTAAAAGTGAGGTATTTTTGTATCCTTTCCAACACGAGGGCCCCCATGTGATGTAAGGCTCAGACCTCACAAAATCCCAGCGTCCCAACACTATCTCCTGAGCAGCTGTGAGCTCCGGTTCCGAGGCAGACTGCCTACCTGGAGTCTAACCTCGTTTGTGCTGTATTTTTTTTATACTCATATAACATCAGAATTTGTTTTCCCTCCAAATTGAATACAAAATCTGGTTAAGTTTTAGAAGAAGGAACACAAGAAATAAAAACAAGTTTGGTTTTTAAAAGAACAAAATAATCAAAATGTACTTCCCGCCGCATCTGCATGGGTAAGTCTAGGGCGGGGACGGGGACGCTCTGCTGAATCACCGCCCCGCCAGAGACCTCCAGGGTTAGACCCCATAGCAACTCCTTAAAAATGCAGTGCTACTTTACACAAGGGACAAGGCAAGAGCAACCCACAAGCAGGAAGCACTGAAAACACAGAATCAGAGAAGTAACATTCAGTAGCAAAGATGACAATTCTAGCACCCCAGGTTGTAAATGGAATGCACTCCAGTGAAAACAGGAAATATTCTCAGTAGAAAGCTTTTTCGTAACCCAAGGAAGTCTTCCAGAAAGCACTCAGCCCTCAAGATGCACTGGAAACCTCTCCCACATCGCTCACGGGCAGGGCGTCTGCGGCGGGCCCAGGTGGAGCAACACTGCAGACTCCAGAGTGACATCACCACAGCCACGGCCACACCCACTCCTGGACACAGAGACACGGCTGGAAGGTTGAGAAAGCAGGCAAGCTCAGCGCCGTGTGTGTTTCTACTAATAACAAAGAATTAGCAATAACTTAAACATGCATCCACTGAGGAAAGGGATAAATTAAAAGTGGTGTAAGGAAACAATGGAACACTATCCCTCAAGTAGCTGAAGCAAGTAATAAAACATGGACTGCTATCCAACTGCATCAACCAAACTGCAACTGTTCCACTTGTTTAAGCTAATTCTTTTTCAAAAAATTTTTTTATTTATTTTTTTCCTTTTTTTAATTTATTAAATATAAATTTCCAAAGTACAGTTTATGGATTACATTGGCTTTCCACCCCCCCCCCATAATTTCCCTCCCACTCGCACCCCTACCATCTCCCACTCCCTCTCCCATTCCATTCACATCAAGATTCATTTTCAATTATCTTTATATACAGAAGATCGATTCAGTATACATTAAGTAAAGATTTCATCAGTTTGCACCCACACAGAAACACAAAGTGTAAAATACTGTTTCAGTACTAGTTATAGCATTAATTCACATTGGACAACACATTAAGGACAGAGATCCTACATGAGGAGTTAGTACACAGTGACTCCTGTTGTTGACTTAACAATTTGACACTCTTCTTTATGGCGTCAGTAATCTCCCTAGGCTCTAGTCATGAGTTGCCAAGGCTATGGAAGCCTTTTGAGTTCACCGACTTTGATCTTATTCTGACAGGGTCATAGTCAAAGTGGAAGTTCTCTCCTCCCTTCAGAGAAAGGTACCTCCTTCTTTGATGGCCCCGTTCTTTCCACTGGGATATCACTCGCAAAGATCTTTCATTTAGGTCCCAAAAAATTATTTATTTACTTATCTGAAAGGCAGAATCACAGAGGGGGGGGGAGGGAGGGAGGAAGGAGGGGAGGGAGAGGGAGAGACAGAGGGAGGGAGAGGGAGGGAGAAGGAGGGACAGTGAGGGAGAGGGAGGGAGAGGGAGAGAGAATCTTCCATGTACTGGTTCACTCCCAAATGGCTGCAAAAGCCAGGAGCCAGGAGTTTCCTCCAGGTCTCCCACATGGGTGCAGGGGGCAAGCACTTGGGCCATCTTCTGCTGCTTTCCAGGCCATAAGCAGAAAGCTGGATCAGAAGAGGAGCAGCTGGGACTTGAACCAGTGCCCATATGGGAAGCCAGCATCACAGGCAACAGCTTTACCTACTATGCCTCAATGCTGGCCTCTAAGCTAATTCTTACGAAGTCCCTTCTAGGATACATGACAAGCGCAACAATCAAGATGCACATGAAAAAATATACTATTTGTGGTTAGCAAAGAAAAGGACCAGAGAGAGGTTACAGTCCTCTACCACCAAATCAAAAATCAGGTTCCTTCCTGGCACCCTTCTTTTGGAACTTTTATCATAATTCCAATAAAAAAATTATTTGTGACTGTTCATTAACTCTTCTTCCTCATCCTGCAGCAGAGATGTGGGAGGCAAGGAACCACTGTACCCCAAGGATCATACCAGATCTGCCAAACTACACACCTTCAATAGGCTTTCTCTAAAAAGGAACCACGCCTTTACCATCGAGGACCAGCTCCGTTTTGATGCCTTACAAACACCTGACTCTGGCTCAGACGCCTCTCCTAAGCAGCAGTCCCTTCTGGTCCAGCTGTCCAGCTGATGTAACCACAGGAGTGTCCATTAACTACCGTAGAAGCCACATGCACAGGTGTAGACTGTCTGCCTTCAGAAATGTTTCTGTGCCATCAAAAGGGTGCATATAGAGACAGAGGAATGTTTCTGATAGCCTGAAAAAGTTTGAAAAAATAGGCCGGCGCCACGGCTCACTGGGCTAATCCTCCACCTGTGGCGCCGGCACTCCAGGTTCTAGTCCCAGTTGGGGCGCCAGATTCTGTCCCAGTTGCTCCTCTTCCAGTCCAGCTCTCTGCTGTAGCCCCGGGAGTGCAGTGGAGGATGGCCCAGGTCCTTGGGCCCTGCACCCGCATGGAGACCAGGAGGAAGCACCTGGCTCCTGGCTTTGGATCGGTGCAGCACTGGCCGTGGCAGCCATTTGGGGATGAACCAACAGAATGAAGACCTTTCTCTCTGTCTCTCTCTCTCACTGTCTAACTCTGCCTGTAAAAAAAAAGTTTAAAAAATTAAACTGGAAAACTCTAAATGGAATGGGATACTGATCCTTTTACACTAATGGGTAAGGTGGATCCAGCAGCTCAGTGTACTCAAGTGAATAGCAGGAATATTGCTCTTGACATTAAATCACAAAAGACAGTTGGAAAAGAATGTTGAAGATGATCATTAAACATATACGTGATTTTGAATAAATATATTTAAATATATGTATAAAGCTAGGAGGGTCACACATGGGGAGTATTATTTCTCCCTTTGGACATTTTTATGTTATATTAATTAATTAATTTGAAAGGCAGAGAGGTGCACAGAGACAGAGATCTCCCATCTACTGGCTCACTCCCCAAATGCCCACCAGAGCCAGGACTGGGCCAGCCCAAAGCCAGGAGCAGGAACTCCATGCAGGTCCCCCCACTTGGGTGAGCAGAGCTCTAGCGGCTGCCTCCCGGGGCGTGTGTTAGCAGGAGGATGGAGTTGGGAGCAGAGCCAGGACCCCAATCCAGGCACTCTGATGTGGTATGCGGACATTTCAAGCAGCATTTTAAATGCTGTGCCAAACGCCCCACCCGAGGTTGAGTTTTTTAAGTGAATAATCCCTACTCAGAAAAGAAAGCTCGTAGCTTAAAAAAAAATGTTTCTGCTCCCTCAATCTTAATTACAAACATCTTCCCAGCTACCCACAAGCGAGGCCTTTGGAGCCGCCCTTTTCCTCTCACTCCTGAAACGGTAATGTAGGACTACGTCTGACCGATTTGAATGTCTGATCTGCTTATGTCTGTCCTATCTTTTTCCGTCATCTCTATCTTAATCAAAGTCTCCATCATTTCTCCCCCCATCCCCAGCAGTCTACCAGCCGGCTTCCTTCCCCTCCCGTCCTTGCCATTGCTTCTAGAACCCTGCCCGTGGTTCCGGGCGGCCTGTGCAAGGAGGCTCGGTCAGCTGAGGCTGTCCAGTGCCTCTCAGGACGGCTCCTGCCATGTGAACTGCAGTACTGCACATTTTTCTGACAATAAACTTGTGGTAGCTCCCCAAATGTTTCACAACTTTGTGCTATTTCCTTTATCCTGGAATGTACTTCCCTTCCCTAGACCCCACGTCACAGTCAAACTGCTTCTGATTAAGGATGCAAGCCAAATGCCGTCATCGCCTGTAAACTCCTCTGTTCCTCTTCCCTCGGGCAAGTTTCAAGTTTCTCTCTCCTTCCCCTGTGCTCTACTAAAACACAAAATCAGAAAGTACCACTTCTCATCCACTATTGAGTGCCCAGGGCTTCACACCAATGCTACTGAGGAAGGTAGCCATGTATAGCATACAGCTTATACAACTTTAAAGTTTTCCACATTTAGGAATCAGAAAACAGAAGTTAGAAGGGGGATGAGGTGAGAGACCCTGAGACCTCTGTCCCAGACCAGTGAAGGACACAGACTTACCCTGCACAGCCTGCCAGGGCTCACAAAGCTGCATGAGCTCTGTGACACGGCACTTGCTTCGGGTTCTCTTCCTCCCTGGAAGACCCTTACCTTACACAACCCTTTTCTGCCTCATCGGTTGATCCTCAGACCCGGCACAGAGCTGGGCATGCAGCAGGTGCTTACAGATTTCCGTGGGGTTCCACAGCCGAGCGGGTCGGGGAAAGCACGGCCTTCAGGAACACGGGGTCTGGAGTCACAGAGCGTGACTTTGATCAGATCATTCCCAGCGCTCACAAATGGAGAGCAGAAAGAAAGCCCCCTTGTGGGACCCTGGGACACAACAGCTCCTCTAAACAATGTTATTGACCTGTGAAGCTATCACCTGGATGTGTGGCAAGCTGTGTCTGAAAAGTACATTTCTGCATTAATGAAACCAAGCAATTGAGATGTCCAGGGCACTTGTTCTGATCAGAACCTAGCCGGCACTACCCGAGTCACAGGTGTCTTTCTGCGTCCCAGCCACCCCTGCCTCGTGGCTGCAGTGGAGTAGGAATGTTTCTTCCCATGCCGTCCACCCATGCCCTGCCTGATGATGGACTCTCTGGGGTGCTGGGCCCAGGCGCACCTGCTAATGTGCTGCCTGAGGGTCTGCAAAAGCTGGCTGCACAAAGAGCGAGCGATAGCACTACCACCTAGAGGTCCTTCGCTCCAATCCAACACGACACCTCAGCCATCGGTCCTCCCAGCCCCTCTCACTGTGAGCATAGCCACCTCACACCCTCATTTCCTCGAAAGCAAAACACAATCCTCAAAAAAGCACTGACATGAGTTTCTGTAAGAAATCCTACCACCGTGTTTGCACTGGATGAGGTTTGTTTCACGGAGATCCTGTATCGCTTAGGTTCTCCGATCTCCTTCATTCCAAATCAACCCTTTCTCAGCCTGTTAAACAACTTTACTGCTTCCGTTTGACCATCACCCCGCCATCAAGCATGCTGCAGACATCGGAATCTGGCGGCCAGTATGGAGCAGTGACTTCCCCCGCTGTCCCTGCACAGCCCTCACATCCTTTTCTCCTTCGTACTGGAACACACCCATTATCACCACACAGATCACTGTATGCCAAACAGTGATCGTCAGTGGACAGAAGACTATCCACGCTAAATCACCTTGAGAAATGTAAAATAGAGCAAACAAGACGCACGCTGCCCAGAGGATAAAAGAAAGTACGAAACACCTGTGACGACGACCTCGACTCCCAACTACGCCACCCTTCCCCAACCCGACAGTGTGCAAGCAAACATCGGAACCCTCTGCTTCTTGTTAGCACACGGGTTTCTAGTTCTCACACTAGAAAATGTGAGAAATGAACATGAATACAGAAATGATTACTGAAATAGCCCCCAAAGTACCTTTTCTGGCTGGTGTCTCATCTCACTGTAATTCCTTCATGATTAACTATAAAATTATCTAGGCATTCATACAGAAACTAAAATCTAACCATTCCAACTAATGTGGCATAAATTCAAACACATTATCCACAAATCAAATGCGAATGATTAACAAAGTCCTTTATTACACTAGCAATCAAAATTAATGTTTAAAGATGAAAAATACAGGGCCAGCGCTGTGGCGTAGCAGGTAAAGCTGTCGCCTGCAGTGTCGGCATCCCATATGGGCGCCAGTTCGAGTCCCAGCTGCTCTACTTCCAATCCAGCTCTCTGGGAAAGCAGTGGAAGATGGG